GAATACCTGGACTGAATGTTTAGTCAGCATGAAGACTCCTTCCTTATTCTGGGTCTAGAGTTTTCACGTGGCTGTCTTTTATCCTGTTTATTCAGTGGAGTCATTTATCCTCATCGAAGGCTTTCCATACAATCTGGTACGATGAGAATACCCTGAAGTGGTCTGGCTTATCCTTGGGAGAACTTGTTCCGAGAGGAGAACCACACACTGAGCCCTGGCACAGGCCATCCCTCTCTGCTATGTGACAGAAGGCCAGGGCTTCCGTTGCGCAGGTGGCGACATTGTGAACTGTGGTCACTTTGGGTTGTGCTGTTTGGACTCTGTTCACTGTTCAAACTTGTGTGCACTTTCTCAGAATCATACCCTTAATAGTAACTAACATGTTACCTTTAAGGTTATCTTGGCCACTTTTTTTTTTAATTTTAGGGGTCTGACAACGTTTACCTCCTAGTGATGGTTAGCAAATACCCAAATGGTAGGCTTCCATGACCTTTTTAATCACTTAAACTGGAGTCATACATAACGTAATGGGCTTCTTTTTTTAAGCTGTTATGGTTATACTTGTCATCGTTTGGCATTATATTACATACATATAACTAATTTCCACAAACTTTAGTTTACTTGATGGAACTAAATATGCTTATATATACCTGCATATATATATATATATACATACACATACTATGTATATACACATTATATATGTGTATGTATATATATATCTTGTAACTAGAGCTTGATTTCCAAGCCCCAAGCTACGAAAATAACTTCAGAGAGGCAGACCTAGGCTCTAGACATAAGGCAGAATATTCTTTAAGGACTCCAAGTTTTAAAACAGATTGTGTTTTAAGTTCATTTCCATCACTGAAGTTCCTCAAGTCAAGGGCAGGTGGCCCCCTGCTGGAAGCGTCCTGGAAAGGATTCTGCTTCCTTCAGTCAGGTGCTGCTGGCTGCTTTGGTCAGTACAGTTTTCAGTCCTCTTTCAAGCCAGGCATGGTGCCAGTGAAGCAGCTGTGTGCAAGCGTACTATGGCCAGCTGCGAAGAGCATCCGAATGGTCTAGAAAGCTTGTTGAAAGGGTGCTGGCTGATTGCAATCCTCAGAATTCCTGACAGCAGGACCTGAGTCTGTATTTCGTGGAAGATCCAAGTGTCAGTGCTAGAACACCCCAACTGCCCCCCACACACACACACACCCCACTCCATGAGGCTACCGTTTTAGAGCAGTAGTACTCAGCTGGTAGTAGTATCCCCATCAGTGTTATTTGGCGATATCCGTGACACACCCAAAGGTATTACTGGTATCCAATATGTAGAAATTCCCCCATAACAAGGAATCAACTAGCCCTAATGTCAGCAGTGCTGACAAGAAGAAACCTGTCAGGGGAAATAACAGAGAACCAAGGGTTTATAACAAACTAAAGACTGTTGTGCTAAATTGTTTAGAGGCTGTGTTTTGTCCTAAATTTATCTAGGGGAATCTGGTGGCAACACCTGCCCACAGGAGCAATTAGGCCCCCAGTAGGACCAATTTCTGTTCTGAACGTAACAAAGAAAATGAATTCAGAAGTTAGACTGCCTGGCTGGGCAGAGGTGTGGTTTCACAGTGATATTTAAAAGATTAGTAGGATTTCGCCAAAGGCATCATAGCCTGAGGAGACTGAGGAAGCAAAGCAAAGTGAGAATGTGTCGAGTTGATTGTGACTGGAAAGGAATATAGACCCTAGGAAACCAGAGAAGTGGCCGGGTGGTCACAGCAGCAAGTTCACTAGTGAAAACCACTCTCAGAAGGAGAGCCCTTTGCCAAAGGCAGCGACAGATGTGAGTCCCATCAGAAGTGAGCCCTGCTCACCTTTTTTGAGTGCCCAGGGGTTCAGCTGGGTTCCCACAGACTTCATCACTATTTTTTTTTTTTTTGCCAGTACTGAAACTTTGCCAGTACTGGACTTCAAGCTTGGTGCTCTGCCACTTGAGTCTCATGCACACACACACACACACACACACACACACACACACACACACACACACACACACACACACACACACACACACACACACACACACACACACACACAGCCTTTCTGCAGAGTCTGTTTGAAATAACATATTCCTTTTTGCCTGGACCCACACTCAGAACACTCTCCTCCTAGTTTACTCTTCCTTACCTGACTGAGATGGCAGGCATGATTTTTGGTGTCTAGTATCTTCCAATTGAGATAGAGTGTCACAAACACTTTTGCCCAGACCAGCCTGCAACTTCAGGTATAAGTCCAGGTCTCAGCCTACCATGCAGCCTGGATGATAGTGTGCCACCCACTCCGTGCTTAATTATTGGTTGAAAAGTTTCCTGAACCTGGGTGTGTGTGTGTCTGTCTGTCTGTGTGTGTTGCGCGCGCGCGCTCGCGCGTGCATGTTTTGCCTCAGCTGGCCTTGAACATAATCCTTCCAATCTCTTCCAATCTCGCCTCCTGAGTAAGTAATATTACTGATGTGACCCACCATGTCTGACTCATCATTTGATGTTGTTCAGGCTTCATCATCTTAACTTAAAGAGAAAACCTAACCACTACACCACGGTGGCTCATGTCTGTAATCCTAGCTACTCTGGAGGCTGAGATATGAGGATTGAGGTTCAAAGCCAGCCTGGACAAGAAAGTCCATGAGATTCTTATCTCCGATAAACCACCAGAAAACTGCAAGTGGCACTGTGGCTCAAGTGGTAGAGTGCTTGCCTTGAGCTGAAGAGCTGAAGGACAGAGCCCATGCCCAGATTTTAAGCCCCATAACAGACAAAAAAAAAAGAGAGAAAAAGCCTTTTGTTTGAGTACATTTCAATAAATATTATTTTGCATGATCAGATGCACACAGTCATTGTACTGTTCTGTCCCTCTCCTAAATTAACAAAGTTTTAATCCATTTGTTGAGCACTAGAGGCTAAAAGCACCTCTACCCAAATCGGGCCTCACTGGTGTTGGTAAGATGAGAGTTCTTCCATCATGGGGGTTTGCAGATTAGTTCGTAAAGATACACAAATTGTTTATATCCCCTCTTTGATGTTCTGCATAATACACACACACACAAACACACACTTATTGTTGGCCTCCCAAGCAAGAAGTTTAATAAGAATCAAGCTGTACATTTCATAACAGAATGACTCACCAGCCACCCCCTTGACAATTACATTGAACCTAATGGAAATTTTGTTTCCTCCGTCCTGTGGGAATTTTGCTGTTTTGTGTGCAACATTTATCAAATGTTTGCTTTGGTTCTGGCACTGTCCCAAATGATTATTTTAAATATTCATGTCTTAGTAGGATTTTTTGCCTAAAATGTTTATTCTTGCTTGTAACTTAACTCCTATAAAATTTGAGTATAGTTATTTATTGGTATGACAGACTAGTGATTTTTTATTTCTATACAACATGTAGCATGCTGTACTTAATCTTTTTTAAAAAAATATTTTATTGTTATTTTAGAGGTGATGTACAATGGGTTACAGTTACATAAGCCAGGTATGAGTACATTTCTTTTTGAACCATGTCACCCCTTCCCTCCCTCTCTCCCAGCTTTTTCCTCCTGCCCCCATGTACAAGTTGTAGAGTTCATGTTCACTATTGTCTAGTGTCTAGTGAATACCACTGCTGTATTTATTCACCCTTTGTCCCTCCATTTCTGTGCCCCTCTTACCCTCCCAAAGATAAGTAAACTAGCAAACGAGACAAAAGGAAAAGACAACAACAACAAAAAAATCTCCATTTCTTGAAGTTTATTTCATAAAATATTTTATATGATCATATGCACATAGCTATTGAGCCTTTGTGATTCGTTCCTATGAATATCCTCCTTTGGTCTCACTGTGTGAGTGTCTAGAGACCTGTGGGGTTGTTTTTTTCTTCACCTTCTTAGTATGATTTTTAACACATGCACCTTTAAAGGGTATTAAAGGTTATATACTGAAAAATATAACTTCCTCCCTGCCCATGCCAATTTTTCTTTAGAATGTCTCAGAAACTACTACAGCCAGCTTCTCATGTATTTTCCAGAGATACGTGTTTTGCTTTCCTGCAATTTATAACACAAATGACAAGATATTCCACTATAACAATCCCTTTCGAGTCTGTCCTGTGTTAACTTAGGCTACCCCAATTTTATGGACAAGGGCCTCAAGACAGGAGGGAGAGTAACCTGCACAGTGTGGTGTAGTAATTGACAGAGTCGGAAGTCAGGACTGGAGTTCCAGTTGTAGGTAGAAATGACCCGAGGCACCTGGGCATTCTTACAGGTTCAGGATTTGTTCATTTATTAGGATGAGGGGCTAGGGCTCAAAGGAAGGCTAGAGATGGGTCTACCTGTGCCCTTCTGTCCCTCCCAGCAGTAGAGTTCTGGCTCCCAAGTTGTGTGTGGCCGGACCTGCTTAATTGGAAGGTGGTTTAGGGTTCCGTGGCTTTCACCCTCATGGGTTGCTTACTGGGTCACATGTCTAGCAGTGTTTGGACTTCCTGCGGGTTGGCAGCCCACCTGACCCATGGCTTTCTCTGTCACAGCCCTCCATGAGTACTAGAGGCCAGAGCCAATAGACTCATCTGAAGCAGAAAGCCAGCCCTGAACTCTAGAATAGTAGTCTTGGAGCTGTTCCCCCAACATGACCTCAACAGTGACCACTGGGGTCATCCTGCCAGCAGACACATCATCTGCACTCAGAATTCTCAAAACAACTTGTCAACGTGGTCTCATAGGCGATTGGCAGGCTGGGGAATGGGACCTTGCCCAGTGGGGATTCTGGGATGTTACATCTTTCTGGGTATATCTCAGGAAGAGGAGAGATATACACCCCATTTAGAGGCACTGTCCAGCCTGAACTGCAGAAATGCACACTGGCCTATAGAGGCATGCTGTCTGAGAAACACATTGCTTTCTGTCTGTGGCATGCTTGGGAATTTTAGTTCCTGACATTAACAGGCAGATAAGTCACACGATTTTCACATTCATCTCCTCTTGGCAGGTAACAAGGAGCGAGCTCATTCTTCAACTTTCTGGGTGTTGCTGAGTATCTTTCTGGGAGCAGTGGCCATGCTGTGCAAAGAGCAAGGGATCACCGTGCTGGTAAGACCTCAGACACAGCTGGGTTCCCATCGCACATCTGTTCCCTCTTCTCTACAGACAGTGGCCAGCCTGCTCTGTGATTCCCTCTAATTCTGTACCCTATTGCCAGTCTGAGGTCAGACACTCTTCTGGAACAGTGGCTTGTGCTGTCATACTTCTGCCGTTTCCGCCATGTTGTTTGATGTGTTGACCGGCTAGCTGCTTGTGGGAAACAATGTGTGGGATGTTCTTGTAGAGCCAAGATTCATTTTCTTGGAGAGTTCCTGTAGACAAAGAAGGGGAATGGCTTGTGTTTCCTGGTTTGCTCTCACATATGTCAGCAATCGTAGGTGCGACAGAAGACTGGCCCAGCAATGCATGTGGTTCGGGAGGTAGTAAGAGCTGCTGCCTGGAAATGAAGAAATGCTGTTATGTTACCAAGCTAGCTGTGCTTCAACCTCATGCATTTGAAGGCTTCTCTGAACCTTGAAGTCTCTTTATATGTTATATAGTAAATGTATTATCTTGGTTCGGGGGGTTTTTTTAGGGAGTGTGCCAGTCTTTGGGCTTAAACTCAGGGCCTGGGCACTGTCCCTGAGCTTTTTTGCTCAAGGCTAGTACTCCATCACTTGAGTCACAACTTCATTTAACTTATGGTGGTTAATTGGAGATAAGAGTCTCATGGACTTCCCTGCTTGGGCTGGTTTTGAACCACAATCCTCAGATCTCAGCCTCCTGAGTAGTTAGGATTACAAAGCATGAACCACTGTGCCTGGCTCAGTTTGGTTGTTTTTAAATTTGAAGATCTATCTTAATTTAGGAAATTTAACTAAAACTTAGGACACTTATTTTAACCAGAGATAAAATGTTAGGAAAAAAGTTGACCCTTTTTCTATTAAGTTCTATTCCAATTTTTAAAGCCAACTTCTCAACATTATTTTCTTAAAGTGTAGTTTACTCACTTTATACGTATAGCTTCAGTCTGATTAAGTGTGACCCATCATTCCAACCGTGAACACAAGTTAGAAGCTCCGGAGAGGACCCTGGTACCTCTCCCTTATGCCAAAGCAACCTGATGGTGTTTTTCAAAAATGGAAAAACTCTTAAAAGAGTTTTACCATCTTGTGTGATTAACAGAACGGTAATGTGGCTATATTCTTTCTGATAGAAAAGTGACCTGCGAGAAAAATCAATATGCTAGTATGTTTCAGAAACAAACACATTATGATTCAAAACATAATGTCTTAAGTTTTGATAGATGGGTAATTTCATATCAGTTGACTCGAGGACCCATTGTTGCTTCAGTCCTTTAGTTAAAACAAGTACAAACCAGGTGCTGGTGACTCATGCTTGTAATCCTAGCTACTCAGAGGTAGAGTGTTAGCCTTGAGCAAAAGGTTCAGGGACAGTGCCTAGGCCTAGAGTTCAAGTCTCAGGATCAGCAAAAAGAAAGGAATGAAGGAAGAGAGAGAAGGAAGGAGGGAGGAAAGAAAGGAAAGAAAGCAAGCAAGCAAGAAAGAGAAAGAAAGAGAAAAGCAAATGTATCACTTACATTGTTGAAAATGTCCCCTGTGGGAAGGCCCATATTACCCACATTGTTAGACATTGGACAGCCCTCAGGGACATAATCATTCTATTTAGAACCTCTGCTCTAATAGTTTGAGAACAAGTAGTGTCCAAAACATCCCATCCCAGAACTTGGTAGACCTGTCCCCATCCCAGATCTGCTGAGTCAGCATTGCATTTTAACAGGTCTGAGGCCCTACCAACTACATTAGCATTTTGGGGGTGTTCAAGATTGTGTTGGAGGGGGTAACAATGCCCAATAGGAAATGGACTTGTTACCTCGCTCATGTAACTGTAACCCCTCTGTACAGTATCTTTACAATCAAACTACATATTTAAAAAAAAAAAAATAGAACAGCAAATAGTTCTTGTTTGCTTATTTCACAGTATAATCAAAAAAGCTTTGAAATAGTAAATTACCATCACCAAAAAGAAGATTAGGTTGAGTTTACGTAAATAAAATGGGCACATTTTGACGCTGCCTTTTAAGTCAAAGAGAAGAGTCTTAGCCTTATGGCAATCATGATCACCTCTTAGGGACTGTCTATAGCTCCAGGCCAAAAAAAAAAATGAAAAGACAACAGCCACTCAACAGGAGGCTCCTGCCTTGTATAGAACAAGCAGAAATGGTCTTCTGTGACCCACAATGACCATGTGTCACATGAATGAGTACAATCAAGACTGAAATGTTTAACCCAGCCTTGGCCTGTGTATTCGATAATTAATGGCTCCCAGCATTCGTGGGAGAGGGTTAAGTAGGGTTGTCATCCTTACTGTGAAATCCACAAATTACTACTGACTTCTGATAAATTCTGATCTCTTTTGCCATGAAACCCCATATTAAAAACCCAAGTCATGTATATTCAGACCCCTCTCTCTCCAGATTGGGCCATGAGTTTGGTTAGATGTTGCTGCCTGCTCCTGGGGTTTTTATACAAAGTCCATGGCAGGGTAGAGAGTAGAGCCTTATCCCTCCTTTGGCCTATAAACCATAATTTTAGTAGCTGTCATAGCAGCTGCTAGAAAGAAACGTAGGCAGAGCACCAATGGCTTCACATAATTAGCCAATAGTGGTGTCCTTCCCCCCAGGCTGGCAGAGGTACTACCATCCTCAGCATGTCGTTTCCAAAGTTGTCCTGGGCATCTCCACTCCAGCCAGCTAGAAGAAGAAAACAAACTTTTAAGCCATACCTCCAAAATGGTAAATGGCACTTCTCTCCACATGACCTCACCTGACTGTAGAGCAAGCTGGGAGTTGTAGTCCAGCATGTGCCCAGGGGAACAGACACATGAACAATTAGAACTGTTCCCAAAAGATCTCCAAAGTTTCCTCTGATATTTACATGTGTGCCTATCCATCCATGCTCCCCATGCCCAAATCAGCCAGCAATTTAAGTGTAGCTCTGTGGCTTTGTTCATGATACTGCCTTTGTTAAGCAGAATTACTGCTCAATATCTAACCATTGTTACGTGAACTAAGGGACTGTTAAATGTTGAGAGAGGGTAGGATCAGGACCACTGGGAAGTCTAAATTTCTAATTATCTTGAAGCTTAGTACTCTTAAATATCAACTACAGAATCATTACTGTTTTACGAAATAAAAATGTGCTATAGTAACATGCGCTAATTTCATATGAACGTGGAATGGTTCTTTTTAAATGCTGAAGAGTTCTTCCATGGTTATCTAATCCTTCACATTCTTTGTGTAGATTAAATCATAAAATTGTGACTTTAATTGTACTTAACCCAGACCAGCCTCCCCATGAGTGATTGCTTTGCTTCCTTAGGGCTTGAATGCTGTGTTTGATGTCCTGTTGATTGGCAAACTCAGTGTGCTGGAAGTCATCCAGAAGGTGCTTCGTAAGGACAAGTCATTAGAGGTGAGTTACATACACACTATTGTCTCCATCCCAGACATAGAAAATGTCAAGTACGCTAATTTAACGTGCCACTTTCCAGGTATTTCTCTTGGCTTTTTAATTTTTTTAAATGTAGCCTTTTCATGCAGTATCAAAGTCATTCAGGCAGCATTGCTGTACAAGTGAACCTGTGAGTTGAAAATCCTAAGCAACAGGGGCTTCATGTGTCCTTTCAGAATATCGGTGTGCTCAGGAGCGGAGGCCTCCTCTTCCGAATGACCCTTCTCACCACTGGAGGGGCTGGTGTGCTCTATGTGCGCTGGAAAATCATGGGTACTGGCCCGCCAGCATTTACCGAGGTGGACAACCCGGCCTCGTTTGCAGACAGCATGTTGGTTAGGGTAAGTACTGAGCCTGCTGTCTTCTCAAAACTGCCACATTCCCAGCGCCTTCCTGGTCCTCCTCACCTCCGCCCCTGCCAGCCTTACAACACCCCTGATGAATGGACACACTTAATTCCACGCTTGTTGATAGGGTAGGATGATGCCAACTTAGGGCATCACGAGGGTTGGTGTGAGCTCCTTGGAAGTTGTCTCCTGCTATGTGTGAGGAGCTGTTTTCTGGGAAGTTGGCTCCAGGGACACCAAAGTGCAGGGGTGCTCCAGTCCCTACATAAGATGACAGAGTATTTGTGACTCACCTGTGCACATCTTCTCGGAGCTTTAAAAAAAAAATCTCTCACTCATATTTAATACCTGATAAAATGCCTGCATATCACTTCATTCACATGGATGTGTGAAGTCCTTCCTTACTGCAGGATGCAAGTTACGGTTTGCCTTTTGGAACTTTCTGGAATTGTTTTTTCTAAATATGTTCAACCCAGGGTTGATTGGATGTGTGGTAAGTTAAATCCAGGGATACAGAATCCACAGATTCAGAGGTCCAACTATATCCTTTCTAATGAAAGTGAAAAAGTTAGTTCTGTCTCCCATCCAGTTCCTTGTCAGTCTTTGTAAAGTACCCTTGACCACATGGTTTGTTATAGAGGAAATTATTTATTTACATGAAATGTAACAATATTGGTGGTTTCTTAAAGAGTCTTAGCAGTGTCTAGATGCTTTATTCTCTGAGGTTTGCCCCTTTTTTCCTAAAGGCTATCAAGCCATAAATTCTTAGGTACTTTTTCCTAGAGAGAAATCAAGAGGACAGCCAGGAACAAGACGCTTTTCTTAGCGTTATTAACAAATGGGTAACTGACCCTGAGACCTCGGATTTCGTGGGTCAGGGGCTTTCGGCATCACCACATAAATCCATTACGTGTTGCTTGGCCAGAAAATAGAACAGATGTATTGCGTGGGGGTAATGGCCTCACTGTATTTTTAATATACTAAGATCTGAATGAATTGAATAAATTGCAGGCTACAGATAGATAGATAGATAGATAGATAGATAGATAGATAGATAGATAGATAGATAGATCCAAAATATAAATGGCAGCATTTTATTTTTATGCAACTGCTGTGTCCTTGAACAGAAGCCTGTGAATGCCTCACAAATGAAGTTAAGATATATGTTCTTTCAAGTTCAGTATCAAGTAAGTGTTTGTTTTCCTTTTGACTGACAGGCCATAAACTATAATTACTACTATTCATTGAATGCCTGGCTGCTGCTGTGTCCCTGGTGGCTGTGTTTTGATTGGTCAATGGGCTGCATCCCCCTCATTAAGTCCATCGGTGACTGGCGGGTAATTGCTCTAGCAGCACTCTGGCTCTGTCTAATTGGCCTAATATGCCAAGCCCTGTGCTCTGAAGACAGCCGCAAGAGAAGGTAAGAGGCAGTGAGGAATTTTAACTTCCGCCCTGGGTCAAGGCTGATGCATTTTGCTAAATCCAGCACTGATCACTGTAACGATTTTATGGACGAAAATGTCGAAGGCCATTTGTTCCAAATACATATTAATGGTAAGGATGAGTTCCCTCTGCTCCCCGCCCATGGCTGACTTCAGCTAGTGGGGAGGGTTATGGATGGCTGCTTCCTGTCCCCCGCCCCTTCCCCTGGGAAGTAGCACTCTGGGATCCCTCTCGCTGTAGGTGGTAACGAGTAATTTATGGTCAGAACAGAGAGTGTAATTTATGTGTGTTGTGCCCGTTATTTTGCAATTCTCCTTTAAAAATAAAAAGCCCAGTGAAGGCGAGGGTGATTCCTTTTGCTGCCATTGAGTACCAAATAAGTTGCCACTCCAAAGCGACTATTCTTTCTTGACAATAAAAGATTTTTTAAAGGTTATTAAGAAAATCAAGATGCATTGTACTTATAAGCTGATTTGTTGAATAGTAACTCATCTGTACACCTAAAGATCGTGAAAATATAATTTATAAAAAAGAATTGGGAAAGATGAATATGTTTCATGAAAATGAAAACTCAGATGACTAATGTGAAGCACAAGCACAGAACTAGATTTGTAATGTCTCCAAATAAATAAAGGTTTTAAGATCATCTATGTCTTAAAAAATCAGTTAGTGATTCTTAAAGTACAACAGGCTTAAGTCCCGGTCAGTTCACTACATGTGAAGTGGGATTTTTGAAATGGTGTAATTACAAGAAGGAGCCACTGAATTTGACCTAGCTATTCGTCAGTCATTTCCTTGCATCAGAGGGGACATTGGGAATGATCCACTAGTTTGAGAAATGTTTCAGTGTTCAATCTTCTTTTTGTTTGACTTGGTAATGTAGCAGCAAAAAAAAAATTTTTATTTTAGATTTCATAAAATCTAAATTGCTTTACTAGTCTTCCTAGAGCTATATTTTTTCCATGAAAACTACATTAAATTTGGGGCCTATCTCCCTAATTCCTGTATGGTTTGAGAGATGGTTAAAAAAAAGATGAACACTTGGGCGCTGGTGCTCATGCCTGGAATCCTAGCTATTCAGGAGGTTGAGATCTGAGGATCCCAATTCAAAAGCCAGCCCAGATGCAAGAGTCCATGAAATTCTTATCTCCAATTAACCACCAGAAAAAAAAGCAGTGGAGCTGTGGCTCAAAGTGGTAGAGCAAAAGGGCTCAGAAACAGCACCCAGGCCCTGAGTTCAAGCTCCATAACCGACAGAAAAGAAAGGAAGGGAGGGAGGGAGGGAAGGGAGGGAGGGAAGGGAAGGGAAGGGGAAAGAAGGAAGGAAGGAAGGAAAGAGAGAGAGAAGAGAAGAGAAGAACTACCTAGATGCTGGTGTAATTTATGCCCATAATCTTACCTACTTGAGAGGCTGAGAGCTAAGGATTGTGGTTCCAAGCCATCCTAAGCAGAAGTATTTCCAATTAAACAGCAAAAGCCTGAAATGAAGGTGTGATTCATCAGCCTTTACTGAAAAAAGCTAAGGGATAGCACCCAAGCCCTGAGTTCAAGCCCCAGTACACATACACTCACACACACACAGAGAATATGTGAATTAATAAGGCCTCACAATGTAATCATTCTGATTTTGTTAACATAAATTTATGATTTGTAAGTGTTATCCTTATGCTTGATGTTAAGAGCCTTAGTCATATTGTTATGTCTTATCCCATACTGCTAGCTAAACTTTCTACGGTGACATTTTTTTGCTGATGAATCTTTTTTTTTTTTTTGCCAATCCTGGGGCATGAACTCGGGCCTGGACACTATCCCTGAGCTTCATTTACTCAAGGCTAGCACTCTACCACTTGAGCCACAGCACCACTTGTGGCTTTTTCCTGTTTATGTGGTACTGAGGAATCAAACCCAGGGCTTCCTGTCTGCTAGGCAAGCACTCCACCCCTAAGCCACATTCCCAGCCCCTACTCAGTGCATGGCATGAAGAAAAGTCTTTATCATTACCTTAATGTTGAGTATGACATTTTTCTTGAGAAGTGTGGAAGTAGCTATTTTGATGGAGCACTTTGCCTCTTCCAGAATCCTCACCCTGGGCCTGGGATTTCTCGTGATCCCATTTCTTCCTGCAAGTAACCTGTTCTTCCGAGTGGGCTTTGTGGTTGCAGAGCGAGTCCTCTACCTCCCCAGTGCCGGGTACTGCATGCTGCTGACTTTTGGATTTGGAGCCCTTAGCAAACACAGTAAGAAAAAGGTATCGGCCTGGAGTGGTGCCACTTCCAACCAGAACACCTCCACACAGCTCACAAGTGACGCTTGCCTTGTCTCTCTGTTATTAAGAAACTGATCGCTGCCATCGTCCTGGGCATTTTATTCACCAACATGCTGAGATGTGTGATTCGAAGTGATGAGTGGCGGAGTGAGGACCAGCTCTTCAGAAGCGCCCTGTCCGTGTGCCCCCTCAATGCTAAGGTACCTTGGCTGCCAGATTTCTTTTATGAAGATGACTAGGGGGTATTTTAAGTCCTCCTTCTGAGTAAGAAGGAAATTTATCCTTGGACAGTATCCAGAATAGGACCATGACCAAATATTTGGGGTTTTCTTTGTCGTTAGTGTTTTTTAATGATTTTTAAAGCTGTATTAGAATTGCACTTAGCCAAAATAATTCTAAAGAAACCATTAAAACCATACATTATCAACAAAACAGATGACTTCTGATAACCCATCACATTTCCAGGGTAGAATTAGACAGGCACATATGTTAACCATTTAGTGTGACTTCTCAAAACCAATGCCCTGGCTATATATAATATGAAGAGCTATATATAATATGAAGGTTCCTATACCTGAATGGACAGGAAGTTGATTCAGGAAGTTTAAACTGCTGTTCTGTTTGCTATGAGAGAGAGACAGAGACAGAGGGAGAGAGAGTGAGAGAGAGAGAGAGAGAGAGAGAGAGAGAGAGAGAGAGAGAGAGAGAGAATCTCCTGGAGTTCTCTGTTTGTGATTCCTTTGACCAGATTAGGTGAGGTTAGATTGGCTACATTTTAAAATTGGGAGTGTTTTTGGTGAGGACAGTCTGATAGGTATTTATTCTACTTGTATTTTTGATGAACTTAAGCTTTTAACTCAACCAGCTGTGCCTTTTGAGCTTTCAGTGGCCTTTTCTGTAAGAAGAGGATAATGTTCCTCTTCTAAGCTTGTTGTGAGGGCTGAGTGAGTACACGTGGAGGGGGGTAGTTTTCAGAGGTGAATTTTAAATTGGGCTTCACATGAACTAGCAAGAAGGAAATTCTGTCTGCTGAGAATGGAGGCCAAGGCATGAGGTTAGGATACTTAGTATAGTTATTATCCTTAAAGGATGATACCTCTTGGGCTGTTTGAATTGGAGCTGCACCAAGATGCTGAGAGTAAGAGGAGTTCTGAACTTCTGTTTCATTTTTTCATTCTGTATTTTAAGCAAAAATACATGAGTAAAAATAATAAATAGTTGACATCTCACTGAGCTGACTGAAGTGAAGGATAGCTAGAAAGGTGCTAACTCTCTATTTGTTCTTTTCTTGAATTAAACTATCTTGCTCATGTTTTGCAGTTAAGAGAGGTAAATACTGTGGTATAATTAATAATGTGCTAATAAGGATGTGAGAAAAACAGACATAGCAAAAAGAGTGAATTACTCTGAGCTTTTGTTCTTTGCCTTGCTGAGTGATCTTTTTTTTGCTACTAAAAATAAAGTACCTGGGATTTAATTTCTTTTTTTTAATTTTTATTTATTTTTTATTGTGAAAATACTGTAAAGAGGGGTTACAATTACATGGGCAAGATAATGAGTACATTTCTTATCAAGCATTGTAGCCTCCTCCTTTGTTTCCCCTTCCCATCCCTTCCCATCCTCCCACCATCCCCCCAATCCTCCCTGCCCCCCCCCCCAAAGTTGTAAAGTTCGTTTTCGACATAACAACTTGTACTTCTCATTGTTGCAACGGGTCTACCTGTATCCTTATTTAAACGATTTGTTTTTCCCCTTCCCCTCCACAAATTATACCGACATCAAATACAGTGAAAACAGGGGTTATACTGTGGGGAAGGGACATACAAAGCAACAAAGAAATAATCTTATAAATGCGTTAGAAACAATTGCATGAAAGAAAAAAACACTTGAATACATATCTTAGGATTCATTTCCCTAACGTCACCTTATCTGACCTTTTCTGCTTGACTCAGACATATACTAGATATTGCAAATAAGGGAAACCATGGGACCTATGTTTCTTTGGGCTTGGCTTACTTCACTGAATATAATATTTTCCAAGTCTTTCCATTTCCTAACAAATGGGCCAATGTCATTCTTTCTGATGGAGGCATAGAATTCCATTGTGTATATATACCACATTTTCTTGATCCATTCATCTACTGAGGGGCATCTGGGTTGGTTCCATATTATAGCTATAGTAAATAATGCTGCAATAAACATAGTTGTGCTGGTAGCTTTAGTGTGGTCTTGTTTGTAAACATTTGGGTAAATGCCCAAAAGTGGGATTGCTGGGTCATAGGGGAGCTCTATGTGGAGTCTTTTGAGGAACCTCCATACTACTTTCCAAAGTGGTTGAACACGTTTACACTCCCACCAACAATGAAGTAAGGTTCCCTTCTGTCCACATCCCTGGGATTTAATTTCATACTTGCAAATAGGTACACCTTTTCATTTCACTTGTATAGCAGGAATTGCCCCATCTGTTCATATCATCTCTTATAGAGCCCTATTGCTAATTTCTACTTTCCTCCTGTTATCTTCCTATTGTAGGTTTTAGACACAAGAATGTTTGCTTTCTTTGTTCTTCTGATGGGAGAAATTGAGATATGGAAAGATTATATTGATATTACTTAGGTGTTTGATTTGGGTGGCTAGCTGGCGCCCTGGCACCATGTAAATGAGGAACCTGGAACGTACTTGTTGTCTGTCCGTATGTAACTTCACCCAAGTAGACTGGAAGACACAGGAGGTACAAATGGGCATGCTCTGTTTCCCTTCTTAACCTAAAGCCTACATGAAGACCTCACCTTCAAACAGATCCACTGCTAATAGCCCTTTGCCCAAAAATTTTTTACAGTGATACTATTCAATCTAAGCAAGATAGGAATTGTTTTGTGTTATATTTTCCACTATAAATTGAAGTGGCATATAATTGTTTTCTTTTTGTATATAAAAAAAAAGCTAGGTCAAAGAAGAGATCTCATTTAGGAAAACACAGTGACAGAGAACTTACTTTTTTTTATATAAATGTATTTTTTTATTGTGAAAATACTGTACAGAGGGGTTAAATTACATGGGCAAGATAATGAATACATTTCTTATCAAGCATTGTAGCCTCCTCCTTTGTTATCCCTTCGCATCCTCCCCCCCCTCCCCCCCCCCCCCCCCCCCCCCCCCGTCTCCCCTACCAAAGTTGTAAAGTTCGTTTTTCGACATAACGACTTATACATCTCATTGTTGCAATGGGTCCTCCTGTATCCCTGTTTTAACGATTTGTTTTTTCCCTTCCCTTCCACATATACCAACATCATATATAGTGAAAGCAGGGGTTATACCATGGGTGAGGGACATACAAAGTGACAAAGACATAATCTTATAAATATGTTAGAAACAATCGCATGAAAGATCTCTTTTTTTTTTTTTGTCAGTCGTGGGGCTTGAGCTCTAGGCCTGGGAGCTGTCCCTGAGCAATTCAGCTCAAGGCTCATGCTCTACTACTTGAGCCATAGTGCCACTTCTAGTTTTCTGGTGTTTTGTTTTTTGTTTTTTTTTTGTGATTAAGTGATTACATAATTTCCCAAATTTCACAGTATTGTGGGATAGTGATGCTCATTAAAAGTCACAAGCTCATTCTAACTTTCCTGGAGCAAATTGTCTATCACAGTCTATATAACATATAACGGTGTACACATATACACCATACATGTGATCAGCAGCATGGGATTATTTAGTAGCAGTTCGACCAGGTGAGTGGAAGTTCTTTGTTTATTAAGTCCTGTTAATTTTGTCGTATCACCTAACATTTTGGATTTAACATCCACTAATCAAGGAGACCATGTACCGTTTGTCTCTTTGCTCTTGGCTTACCTCACTCAACATAATTTCTTCTAGCTCCATCCATTTCCCTGCAAATGCCATTATTTTGTCATTTTTAATGGCTGCATAATATTCCATTGTGTATAGATACCACAATTTTTGGATCCATTCATCTGTGGTGGGGCATCTGGGTTGTTTCCATATCCTAGCTAGAACTTACTTTCTTATACTTGTTTCTACTTGACATGCATGGACATTCAGTTAAGCAGTTGGCACTTGGCTTTAATTTAGGCCCAAATTTACAAACTGAGACTAAAATCCTTTTTTTTTTTTTTTTTTTTGAAGCTTACAATATCAATGTAGGTACTTGCTGTCCCTGACTTTCATTGAAATTACCTACAAAGCTTTGCATATGGCAATCACTTAACCTCAGTTATTATTGAATTGGGCTAAATAAAAATTGAACTTACTGAGACTTCTATGAGTCTGAGTAAATTTGCAATCATTTTTTCATTTTCAACACTTAAAAATGGCTTATATATTATCAGCTCTGATAGAATTCTACCAGAATTGATGGGTGGAAATCAGAATATTACACTTCAACTCTGAATAAGAAAGGTCATATACCACCATGAATACTTAGAGGATTTTCATGTGTTTCTTTGCATGTATTCATTACTCAGTCAAGATGGTGGTTTTCATCTGATTTTTGAGCCTTGACATATGAAACACAGATGCTGGAGGGAAAGTTGAAAAAACAGGCTTTTCCACTCTTTCACATATACCATCGAAACAAAAACCACTCATTCTATAAACATGGATTCAAGTAACCTCATTGGGGCAAGTAACCTCCTTTGTTGCCTTTCACAACCTAGACAACTGCTTCCTGTTCACGGAATCCCCTCTCCCAGTCCATGGGGTGAGGCTGTTTACTAGCTCGTACTTGTGGATGGTCTTCCAGGGCTGGGTTAAATTTTTTATCTCATTTCACGTAAATACTATAGTCAGATTTCCAGAGGGCCTCCCCTGGGCTTCCAGCCGGTGTTCTAACTGAGCGTCTAACAGAACACTGCCTGTGCTGCAGAGGGCAGTTGAACTCTGTGAGCTTTTTATGGAGAAAGCAGAATTCGCCAAGCACAAAGGAAAACAGCAGGGGCTTGGGGGCAGAGGCAGCTGGAGTCATGTTCACATGGAGTAGAAGCTGTGTTTGTGTTCTGGGCACCACGAGGGCTTCCCTTGAAGGTGGCATTCTCCAGCCTTGAATTATTTTGTGCATGGGATGGGAAGAAAGTCACACTTCCAATCTGAGGTTGGAGGGAAGAACAAAGTCAAGCCATTTATAACACACTTTACACAATATGCCTTCTGGCATTCACTGAGCTGCCACCAGGCTATAATTTAAGGGTGAAAATGCATATGAGGGGACAATACTATGGTCCAGGAAGTTTAAATTATACTGTGTGGTATGCAGGAGTGAGTACACATTGACATCGCCTGCGATGTCTCTGCTTGTGATTTCTTTCATCAGATTAGGTAAGTACTTTAAAATGGTCAGGGTGAAAGGACCTGTTTATGTGCTTACCATTCCAGAAATACAAGCACATCTGAGGAAGAGCTAGTGCTGTAGGGTGTAATTGTCATACAGGATGTGGTTCTATTTTCAGAGGTGATTTCTGTACAGTGTTCAGGTTAAACATTCCTAGCACCAGGCACTGGTGGCTCACACCTGTAAACGTAGCTACTCAGGAGGCTGAGATCAGAGGGCCGTGGTTCAAAGCCAGCCCAGGCAGGAAAGGCTGTTGAGACTCTTAGCTCCTGTTAACCACCAGAATACTAGAAGTGGTGCTATGGCTCAAAGTGGTAGAGTGTTAGCCTTGAGCAAAAGAGCTCAAGCACAGCACCCAGGCCCTGAGTTCAGGCTCCATGAATGACACACCAAAAAAAATTCCTTGAATGTGGCATTTGCTGTGTTTCAGGGTATTTATTCGTTTACTCTGACTGCCATGCCAAAATGCCAGATGGTGTGGCTTAAATAACAGAAGGCTGTTCTTCAGATTTCTGGAGGCTGGAAGTCCAATGTCACAGGCTGTTTCTGCTGAGACCCCTTCCTTTGGTGTATGTACATGACATCTCCCTGTGTCCTCATGTGGTCTTTGCCATAGGAATCCCTGACTTCTCTCAGTGTGTCTAACAAGCCCAGTGCTGGGCTCCAGCAGAACACACCTGTAATCCTAGCTACTCAGAAGGCTAAGATCTGAGGATTGGATTTGAAGCTAGCCAAGGCAGGAAAGGCCTTGAGACACTTATTTCTAATTAATCACAGAAAAAGCTGCTAGGCAAGTGGTAAAGCACTAGCCTTGAGCAAAAAGGAGCTCAGGGACAGTGCCCAGGCCCAGAGTTTAAGCCCCAGGACTGGCAAGAAAAAAAAAAAAAAAGGACACCCGTGAGATTGAATTGAGGTCTACTCATGTGACTTCATCTTACCTTAATTATCACTTGGAAGACCCTCATAATACAACAGTTGCATTATGAGCTACTGGGGCCTCAGTTTGTGAGCTTTGAGAGACATTGTTTTGGATCCATAACACATAACTAAAGATACCCTCTACCATTAGCCTGCCTTTGAGCACCTTCAAATCTTATCCAGAAAGTCTGTCCCTTAGAATACAATCCCAGACTACATAAGGCCAAGCTGCCATTGCTAGACACATTTCCCCCAGAGGCTCAGGTGCCCAGGGACACCATAAGGCAGGGATTTGCTGGGCTTTTGCTCCCATCAGGCTCCGAGCTGCTGGCAGTCACCATCCATCTACCCTTACCTGAAGACTTAGGCAGCTGAAATGTGGTGTCTGGTGAAGACCCTCTTCCAGGCTTGGGGATGGCTGTCTTTTCACTGTGTTCTCACATTGCAGAAGGAAGGAAGGAGGACTTTCCAGAGCACTAACATCACCCTCATGATCTGATCACACCACAAAGACTCCACACATTATTAGAAGCTAGGATTTGAACATAAGAATGTTGGAGGGACATCAACATCCCTCCCACAAGGGGTGTAAAGCAAAATGCTTGCAATTCCATCAGAGAAAGATGTCATACAGGTAAAGACCATAGTTGGGAAAAGGGGGCAGACAGAACAGTTGTTTGTTCCTCTCACAATCATGTGAGTGTGACTCTAATGGAGTGTGTAGGAGGGGAATTTAAGGCTTAGTAATAAAAAACACAGCCTAGTTTCGTGATTTTCCAGTTTTCTCTGATGGGTTCTATTATTATTTCTTCTCCCGTCATACTTTAGTGATATTTCCCTGTGTGCACTCTTTTCTTACAGGTTGGGGTGTTCAAATACATGCAAGCCCTAGGCTTGCTAAAGTCCTATGTGGTTTTAGCAAAAGTTCTGATGGGTGATTTTTTTTTAATTCCTTTCCCATTTGTCTTCCATTAGAAGGTGTGATTGGTGTTAGGTCTCTGAATGTGGAAGTTTTATGTGTCAGTGGCAAAACTGTCATCTATATTTTCAGGTTCACTACAACATTGGCAAAAACCTGGCTGATAAAGGCAACCAGACAGCAGCCATCATATATTACCGAGAAGCAGTAAGGTACTGTGCATGTTCTAACGGAAGAAATGCCACTTGGGTGTGTGTATTATTTTCATTTCCTAGGATTCCAAACTTGTCCCTTTAAAGACCCCAAGTTTGAGATATCTTTGTCAGTTCCTGAGATAACAGCCAACTTGGTTTCTCTCTCCATTTCCAGGTTAAATCCCAAGTATGTTCATGCTATGAATAATCTTGGAAATATCTTGAAAGAAAGGAATGAACTACAGGAAGCTGAAGAGCTGCTGTCTTTGGCTGTCCAGATTCAGTAAGCCTCGTTTTTATACTAATGACAAGGACAAAGAAGTGAGCGCCTGTGTTTAGCACTATCTAACCCTTTCTTTTTCTTTTCTTTTTTAAACATGCTTCCAGGCCAGACTTCGCTGCTGCCTGGATGAACTTAGGCATCGTGCAGAACAGCCTCAAACGGTTTGAGGCTGCAGAGCAAAGTTACCGGACAGCAATTAAGCACAGGAGGAAATACCCAGATTGTTACTACAACCTTGGGCGGCTGGTAAGGATAGGTACCCTGGGCCTGCTGAAGGAAAGGCTGGGTGAAATAAAATGACAGTCTTAAAACTTAACCATTAACCAGCACACTCCATTTTATAAAGTTCTTTCACATATATTTATCTCATTTGAAGGTAGCGATTTGGTTTCTTTGTGTGTAGTGTTGAAGCTCTAATTAGTGAGCAATCCAAATTGAATTAGTCAGGCTTATGAGATCACCAAGGCAATAGGTTAAACTAAGGAATAAATTAAAATGTTTTAAATTTTTTCTGCCCTGGTAAACAGTACTCCCAGGGCTAACTTCCTGATAAACGTTAGTTTCTCTGTTTTTAAAGCACAGGTTGAATAGTAACTGAGAATGTGAGATCTGAATCTTTTCCTCTGTAGGCACATTTTTCCTGAAAAGGACCATGTTGGAGGTCAGGGCATTTAATTAAAGGGGCTTCGCCTTTACATGCTGGAAAGAGAAAATAATGCATCCACAATAGCTTTATATTTGAGGCCATTGATGGAATTTCTATAATGATCTGGTTGCTCTCAGTTTTCTTAACAAAGAAAATAAGAAGCACAAATGGCAAAGTTCTTTAATCAGGAATAACTGTATTTTCTCCGCAGACAACTCTTCAGTTTGGTTTCAAGAAATCATTATCTATGTCCCTAATATACTTAGATTTATTAGATGAAATTATTAAAGGAAAAACTTTCAGTTCATGTAAGTTATACTAGAATAGATGCATAATAATATTGCATTGCTTTTCTCTTTTTTTGGTCAGTCTTAGGACTTGAACTTGGAATCCCTCGCTGCTTTGGCTTGTTTTGTGGGTGGGCATTCTACTCCTTAAATCATACCAGCCTGAGTACTGGGGATTGAACTCAAGGCCTCTGACCCACCCAGCTTGGTTGCTCAGCTGACCTGCTACCACTTGAGCCACACCTCCAACCCAGCTTTTTACTAATTATTTTGGAGATGGCATCTTGTGGGCTTTTCTCCTCAAGCTGACATCAAACTGACATCAAACTGAGATCTTCCCAATCTCAGCCTCCTGAATAGCCAAGATGATAGGAGTGAGCCACTGGCCCAAGTTAGTATGGCTTTTTTTTTTGTAAAGATACTGTGCAGAGGGTTATAGTTACAGAAGTAAGGTAATGGGTATATTTCCTATAGAACATTGTTACCCCCTCCTTTGGTTTTCCCCTACCATCCCTTCCCTCCCCAACTCCTCCCCCCACCCCAAAATTGTAAAGTTCATTTTCAACATAGTGTCTTATATGTCTCATCAGCATGGCTTTTAAGATAAATTTATATAGAACTTTCCAGACTTAACTCGGCCTCACAAGTAGAACAAAATCCTAGTGTTCTAAAAAAAAATAGTCTTTCTATCCTCATTTGAAATGTATTATCAAGTCCATATGTTGTTGTATAGCCTGACCTCTCATAGTATCATATAAACCTACCCCATATCAGATTTAGAGAATCAGAAGCATCAGAAAATCTATTGTTTTTTTAAATAGTAATAAATGCACTGTCTCTGGCTGTGCATCTGGGAAGCATTCCTGTCTAGATACTAACAGGAAGGAAGGAAGAAGATCACATCAGAGGTAAATGGTCTGTGAGGTGAGACCAACCTGGAAAGCTTTAGCAGCTTCAAGTTTGTGAAAGACCAGGTTCCTCTCTCACATGATGTGATAATTGAATGTCTTTCCTTCCTTTTTTTTTTTTTTCTGTGTTGGTCCTGGGGCTTGAACTCAAAGCCGGGGCTCTGTCCCTGAGCTTTTTTGTTCAAGGCTAGCTAGGGCTCTACACTTGAGCTACAGCTCCACTTCCATATTTTTGTTTGTTGTTTGGGGTGCTTTTTTGGGAATAAGAGTCTCGTGGACTTTCTGATCTAGGCTGGCTTTGAACTGTGATCCTCAGCTCTCAGCCCCCTGAGTAGTTAAGATAATAGGCATGAGCCACCAGCACCCAGCTTTGAATGTCTCTGCTCTTAATATCAGTGTTTGTGGGCATAGTTGTCATGATTTTGTGAGTTGTGGAAATAGAATTTTATGAATGAAGGAAACAAGATGACAGAAGAGACACATGTTAATGAATGATGAAGACTGACTTTGCCCAAAGCCACTTAAGTGGGCATAATACTTTGTTTAAAGATTTTAAAGTAAAGTGACTTTCATGTCTTTTTAAAAAATACAGAACATGTTTTAGTTGTGAGTACTATAGGAAGATACCATCTCTGTGATTACTAAATGGGGGACGGAGAGAACAGTTATTTTCTCCTGGCCACCAATGGCAAGATTGTCAGAAGAGATAAATGGGAAGTGGTTGGTCTCACTGAAGAAACAATTTGGGAATGGACCCACAGAGGAGGCTTCAACAGAATAGATTTGTTTCAGCAAAATCTGAATCAACAGAAGTAATCATAAAACAATTAATTAGATCAAGTGCCTCTACTCCCCCCCCACACACACCTCCAGTCTTAGGCACTTTAATGGACTTGATTTAATGATTATGCTAAGAATACATTCCTAACTGTGGAGTTTCCCAAGAAATTGGCAGGCTTTTAAAAGAACTGGGGAATTGAGAATGATTTACCTCATAAGGTATTCTCAAAGCTAAGAGGGCGATTTGAGGGGAGGTGCATGCAGGAAGCTGCAGGTGCAATAAGATGCAAATGAGGCCTCTGGCTCACCTGTAGAAGTGGGGAGTCCCTGCTGAGCTCGGTTCTGGGGATGTTAGCTACTGCACTACTAAGTAGTCTCTTGTCAACATCCCTTACTGCACGGTGGTAGTGGAGCAGGGTGCTTGGCACAGTATATGGAGATACAATGTTGCACCTGTCTGCAGCTCCTTGGTGTTTATTGTTGTTCCCTTCCAGACTTCCTATGCTTTATCAGGATGGCAGCAAGGTGACCGACCCCAGGAAACAGTGAGAGGTTTGAACAGGGAGATGGGTGGATAATATTCCATTCATTGCACTTCAGCTTTCTTTAGAGCCACTGGGCCTTGTATGCATTTCTGTTTTCTTTTGCATCTCAGAATTTTATGCCTATGATCTCATGAAGTTAAGTAAGTGGGAGCACTGAGTGGAGGAGAGGGGCGTATGTATTAACTGAATAGATGTGCTGATGCTGCATGCTGCTGTTTCTGTTTAGTGGCTATTAAACTAGTGAGCGACAGATATTAGGGTCAATGTCCCTGTGAGTTCTTCTTTTATTCCTAATTTTTTTTCCATCTGGATGTAACTGCTTTCAAGTTACTGTTTGCAGAGTGAGTGAGTCGATCTGTAGCCTTCTGCTTCAAAGCACCGCCTCAGCCTTTGCTAGTAAGCTGCCTGTCACAGCAGTTCCTGGGTTCTTGAAAACAGAGAATCTATGCTAAATGAGCCTCTTATTATAAGAGTTACAGCCAAAGAATGGAGCACAGGATGTAAACTTCAAGGAGCACAGAATGTAAACTTCCGGCTCTTATCGAGTGCCCTGGTGCTGGGATTCATTACACTTTCACTGAAGATCATCTGTAGCACGGAAGTGATGGAGACCTCGGGATGTTTACTAATTGCACTGCCCTGAAATGGCGTTCCTGCCATGGCTTCCACTCACCGTCCTGCTCGCTTATGGCTTTTACTCTCCACTGTGGTTTAATTGTCCAGCTTTTGCCCACTTGACAGCTTAAAAGCATTAAGACTTTAATCTTTAACAGCTCAACCCATCCATTTATATATTGGCAAATAAGGGGAACTTAATAACTTAAAGGTGTATTTGTTAGAAGTCTGATTTTTTTTTGTAACAGGCGAGAGAGTTTTGTTTTGATTTCTGGATCATGATAAGAAGGGAATAATTCAGTTCTCTTGTGGAATAGGAAATTAGGAAAAGCTGGATTCTTTGGGGTCTATTGCTCATTCTAGAGAGGTTTATAATAGGGATCTGAGGTAATGCAGGAGACAGTTCGCTATGCAGGGGCTGGTTGTATCAGGACATGCTCACGAGAAGAGAACACACAAAATATTCCAAGTACAGAAGGTTTAACACAGGATTGGTTAGGCAATCATTAGATAGTTAAAAGAAGGAAATGGAAAGGTAATATTAGTTCAGAGATGGATAAGAAAAGGTAGTTTGGGGGAATAAATGGGATAAAAGGGGGCTATCAGAATGGAAGAACTCAAAGCCGGGTGCTGATGGCTCACGCCTGTAATCCTAACTACTCAGGAAGCTGAAATCTGAGGATCATGGTTCAAAGCCAGCCCAGGCAGGAAACTCCGTGAGACTCTTATCTCCAATAAACCACTAGAAAACCAGAAGTGGCTCTGTGGCTCAAGCGGTGGAGTGCTCGCCTTGAGTGAGGGATAGCGCCCAAGCCCAGAGTTAAAGCCCCATGACCAACACACACAAAAAAAAGAAAAAAGGAAGAACCCAGCAGAAGCTGCTACCGAAGTCACAAAGGAAAATTCTCTGTTTCTGACTTTGGATCAGGAGGCAGACATAGCCACTTCCAAGGCAGCCAGGGGAAAGGAGGAGAAATTTAGAATTGGGGAAGAGGACTGCCCCTCTGATGTTTATAACACCTGTTGGCAGAAACTTAACAAGGAGCCAAATGGTCCCGGTGCCTGGAAAATATATATAGTTTGCAGATCCTCAGCTCCAGCATTCAAGAGCAGAGTGTAGAAGGATGGATAAAGGACTAATTGTGAATATCTATATCCTACCCTTCTACTTCCAGCCTGGTAGTTCTTGCTAGATCACCATTGTTCTGTCTGGTGGTTATGTTGATTGTCCTAGGTTACAGTGTCAACATGAATTTGTTCAAGTGATTCACATGCCTAATGCTGAGACATCCAATAGCAAGAGATGATTCATTAAGCATCCCAAATTATTATAATATATATAAATATGTAATATATACAAGCTCAAATATTTTGAACTTTTTTTTATTATTTCCTAATGATTTTAAAGAGTGAAATCTTAGAACCTCATTGTCTTGACTTGTGGGAAATTCTGACAAATGGATATTTATAAATGTTTCCATGGTTCATGAAGCCTTGCTTTTTCTTGTAAAAGTTTGTCACCAGTGTTCTGTGCATCATGGAGCAAGTCAAAAGGCTTTCATTCTATAATGAATGAGGCACCTTAATGAATGAATGAAATCACCTTAAGCTCTGTTCGTTGTCATTATTTGAACTCAGTTCTGTACAGTCGAGGGCTCACGTGCTAGAGAGCATCATTCTCTTCCTCTGTGGTTTTCAGTGACTAATGCTAACTGAGAGGCAGATAATTGGTATTATTGAGGTTCAATGAAAATTCCTCTTAAAAGAAAGCAACAAATGATTCTCTCCTTCCTGAGGGAGGCAGGTAGGTTCCAGATGGCCAGCAGATTTTGCATGACCATACGAGTCTATTCCAAAGAGTTAACTTACAAAAGTATGCCTTATATTCTTGTATTTTTATATTAGGTTTAGGTGTGACAGGAGGGCACTCCTACACGATTCTTCATTCTTTACTAGGTGACTTGGACACATAAAATTCTTGTTTACTATTCTAAATACTACTTAATGGAAAATGGACTTTATGGAGTTTCTCTAGAAAAACAATAGTGAGCAGGGGTTTGTTGTTGTTGTTGTTGTTATTGGGATTTTTTTTTTGTGGAGGGAGGAGGAAGGGTTAATGGGGCTAGACAATGCCCGTAAGATTTTTTATTCAAGGCTGGTGATCTACCACTTGGCCACAGCTTCACTTTCTGGCTTTTTGCTGGAGATAAGAGTAGGTCTTTCCTGCTTAGGCTGACTTTGAACCTTGATCCTCACATCTCAGCCTCCTAGGTCACAGGATTACAGGTGTGAAACCACCTCATTATTTATGTAACTCTGTACATCACCTTTACAATTAAAAAATTAATTAAATAACTTTTAAAAATGAAAAAAGAAGCTACCATGGCACCTGGCAGACCACCTGGTTCTAATCCTTGATCTTCACTTTCTAAATTTGTGGCTTTGAGAAAGTGGTTAATTTCTCTGTGCCCTTAGTTGCTCCATTTCTGAAATGAGGCAAACAATACCTACTTCATTGGGGTTGTTTTGGAAAGTAAATTGGTTGATAAGGAAAAATCAGAAGCTTCATGGAGGTGAGGTAGTTGTTTTGTGTGTTTGGGGTGTTGTGTTGAGTTCATTGGCGGTCTCAGAAGAAGAGCAGGAGAACTGGAATATTGATTTGGGGCGTTTGTTTTCAGTATGCTGATCTGAACCGTCACGCAGACGCTCTGAATGCATGGAGAAATGCAACCGTGCTGAAGCCAGAGCACAGCCTGGCCTGGAACAACATGATCATCCTCCTGGACAACACAGGTGCAGTAGGAGGTTGGAGCGGAGGACCCAGCTCACAGCACAGCTCTGTCTATGCAGGAACTCTAGCTTAGGGTACCCTCCCCCTCATCTCAGATTTAAAAAGATAAGGTTAAATACTTGTATTACAAAATGCCTCTTCAATCATTTCCTTTGATATAAAGGAATATGAGCTTGAAGGAAAATGAAATTCCACTTAATATTGGCATCACATCATGGGAAGAAGTGTGTAACTGCTGTATTTATGTATGCTGACGCTGCCATCCAGCCACACTTCCGTGCGGATCCAGAGGCCAGACCAGCTTCTGGGTTTCTGGAATAAATGGAGCAGGTCCCCGCTCCCAAGCGCATGGACTCCCGGCAGGTGACACACTCAAGTCTAGACTAATTTGAGATACGGTGCTTTATGACTTGAGATCACATTTCTTAGCCCCCAGTGAGCTACAGCCAACAAAGAAGGAGTTTTTCTGCTCTTCTTGTTTTTTTTGTTTTGTTTTGTTTTATGGTGCTGGTGATCCATCAGTGCCAGGGTCTTGCACTTACTAGGCAAATGCTCTACCACTGAAATACATCCCAAGTACTCCGCTTTAAAGAAAAAAGCCAGACATCCTTTAAGAAATGATGGGCTAGGTGCAGTGGTCCATGCCAGTAATCATTGCTCCCTAGGAGGCTGAGATCTGAGGATCACAGTTCAAAGCCAGCCCTGCGTAAAGTCTGTAAGACTCTTATCTCCAGTTAACTGCCAAAAAAAAGCCAGAAATGGAGATGTGGTTCAAATGGTAGAGCACCAGCCTTGATAAAAAAGAGACAGTGCCCAGGCCCTGAGTTCAAGCCCTAGTACTGTTTCCAAAAAAAATGGAGTTGATTTGGCAGAATTTAAAACTAACAAGCTATCTAAACAGTGTAGGAAAAGATAATTATTTAAAGAAACATACAGAACATATACTTCCACATGAAAAACATTCAGAAATTAGTATTACTGCGCTCCTGTTATTTTGCAGACTTGTTTTCTTCTGTTTGAGGATAACTGGAGTCTGGAGAAAATGAAAACTTGGTTTCATGTGGTTTTACTGAATTTAATCAAAAGTTGTTTGTATATTGTGTCAGAATTGCGCTGACTTGCAGCGATTCTACCACGCAAGGTTTCACACATTTTACATGGATTTTTCTTAAGTAGTTTATTCCTAATCATAATACATGTGAGCCCTGTTAATTATAGAAAAAGAAAAAAAAACACAAGTATAACACGAACATTTTTCTCCTTGTTTTTCCTCCTAGGTAATTTAGCTCAAGCAGAAGCTGTTGGAAGAGAGGCCCTGGAATTAATACCTAACGATCATGCTCTTATGTTCTCCTTGGCAAACGTGCTGGGGAAATCCCAGAAATACAAGGTGCGTGAACTCCAGGCTGACAGGAGCCATCAGTGTTCCTTCTGCCCAGTTGAATTCAGAATTGGGCCAGAATCAGGGCAGCAGTGCTAGGGCACTGGCCAGCGTGCTCTCCAGAGAAGTTGCCCAAAAGATGCATGTGTACTGTCTCACGTGAGGAAAGTGTCATTTTCTCATCAGAACTCAGCCTTGTTCACATGCAGAGTGGGGAGAGAAGCGGGTGGGGAGGGCACACAGTCTGTGCTGTCTACTCCCAGGGTGCTGTGCCCAGCGGCTCTCCTGTGGGGAGGGGGGCTCATTGTGCCATTTGCAGGGTGCTGCTTTGGGCATATAGGAAATGCCCTGCTTTGGGTGATTTGTGGATGGTTCTCACTGCTTCCTCTGAGTTTTTTCTCTTGAGATCATCAGCACAAACCACGGGGTATGAAATCTGCTCCACCAGGGTTTCCAGTCTGGTGTGGAGTGGGAGGGGCCTAACCTGGTCCCGGCCAGTGTCCTCACACTGCTACACTTGGGAATGACCTAGGAACCTGTTGCATTCCTTCCAAGGAAGGATGGCCCTAGGGCTTGGATCAGATGAGGGGTGCACATTTCTTGCCAGCTCTGGGTCACTCCACCCAGATGGTACAGGAAGTGTTATGTCAGACACGGTTCCTGTGCTCTGTAGCAGAGAGAGCTATTTTATTTTAGGCTCAAGAGCTAATATTTTAATTCGTAATTAAAATAGTCATGGGTATTTTAATAAACAATTCATATAGTGAGTAATACTGTAATGAGTGAAATTACCAAAATCAAACTTTAGTGTTCCCAATAACAATTTCACAATGATGACAGCGATGTGTCGTTTTGATCACTCTGAGGTTGCAGGTCAGACCCAAGGTCTAAGGGAGCAAGTGATCAATACCATCACGGATGTTGCGTCTCTCTGTTCATAAGTCTTTGTTGGTATAATTCTCTGTGAGAGAAAGACACGGCATATGTTTGTGCCTGTTTGATTGTCAGGGAATTTAGTAACTTCCCTGTACATTTTTAGCATTTTCTTGCTTTAGCTCCAGAGATGGCTTTTGGAAGCGCTCAGTGTTATTTTATTTGGATCTCCCTGAGCTGAGGGAAGTTTGGGGGGGTTTCTTCCTAAAGACCCTCTAGCCACAGTGGCCCATCCCAGTCGGGTCTCCCTTGCTTCAGGGTGCAGCTTCTAGAATCAGGTACTGACTTTTCTCCCACACCGCGTTCTATGACACAGCAGAACCCAGGACTTGCCTGGCTTCCACTCCACAGCGTGGCTTCTTCCTCTGATGGGACAGAAAAGACTCCATGAGTCAGCGTGCAGTCAGCTCCCCTCTCTGTGCAGGGTGGATTTTTTTCAAATTTATATAAAAAATAATTTATTCCTGAACATTTATTTTAGAAAGTTTTGAAGAAAAATTTTAGTAGAGTGATTTTAAACCATTAACTGTAAAACAGGTTTGGCTTTTTAAGTGGTTTTTTAATTCTCTCAGAGACGCACGTCAGCGGCCGGGGCCGAGACCCACTCAGGGGGCCTGGTCCGTCATGTCACGTGTGTCTAAGACACTTCACAAAACAAAGTATTACCTAAACTTCCTGAAGGTGGAAAATGCATGTGCAGAAGAGGCCCCCCTGTGCAGGCATCACACTCAGGGGGGCCACATTACTGTGTCCTGCCCACACTCGCTCACCCCAGGCCCTCTCACCCCCCCAAACCTGCTCACTCCCCTAAACTCTTGTTTCCCCACCCAGACCTTTCTGCTTCCACCCTCACAACCCACAGTGTGCATCATACCCTCCCACTCCATTCCTCCACCCTCACCCATCCAAGGACGGTGGCCATGGGCAGGGGATGGTCAGATCAATGAATAATGGAAGTGTCAAGAATAATTTGGAGCCTGTGGCTCACGCCTGTAATCCTACCTGCTCAGGAGACTGAGATCTGAGAATCACAGTTCAAAGCCAGTCCAGGCAGGAAAGTGTGTGAGACTCTTATCTCCAATAAACCACCAGAAAACCAGAAGTGGCGCTGTGGCTCAAGTGGTAGAGTGCTCGCCTTGAGCTGAAGAGCTGAGGGACAGCGCCCAGGCCCAGAGTTCAGGCTCAGGCCACCCCCCCCCCCCACCGACAAAAACAAAACAGGGATCATTTGGACGCTGCAGACGGTGGTGGTCTACACCACAGGCCTGGCAGAGGCCACGGCTGCAAAGCCCTGTGCATGGGGTTGCATCGGCCCCAGCTGCTGCCCCAGGTCGTGGAGGCCAAGGCTGAAGGCACCGGCCCAACCCCAGCTCCCTCTTCCCATCCCCCACACCCTGTGCTCCACTTGCTCAAAACCTCCGTCCTGGGGTGTAGGCCGAGCCACGCGTTTCCAGCCCTTCCTGGTGGCTAGTGCACGTGTCCAGCCTGCCCTGGTGGCCAGCATGTGTGTCCAGCCCTCCCCAGTGGTCAGTGCGGGTGTTTAGCCCTCCCTGGTGGCCAGTGTGCGTGTCCAGCCCTCCCTAGTGGCCAGTGCACGTGTCCAACCCTCCAGCAGACAAGAGTTCAGTGACCCAAAAACAAGAATGTGAAGCGCAGGAAAGGCGCAGGCCTCGTACAACCATCGCTTTTGCTTCTTGTTCATGTTCTTCCTGCCATATGCGTCTCTTTTTCTCTTTTAGGAATCTGAAGCTCTTTTCCTCAAGGCAATCAAGGCAAATCCCAACACTGCAAGTTACCATGGTAATTTGGGTAAGGAAAGTTTTCCATGTGACTGTCATGGGCTGTGTGTCACCGGAAAGAAGTGGGCATGCTTGTGTGCCTTCAGTGTGGGGAGAGGAAGCCTAGAAACGACACCGAGTTCTCCTGTGTTACCCAGTTATAGAATGTGGTTGTGTTCTTGACACCTGGAAGACGGTGAGACGATAGTTACGTTTACACACTGTCATTTCCTGAGCGGGACAGCTCCAGCCCCGCCCCCTGAATGTGTCAGAACTCAGACCCAGTGATGTTAAGCTGAGAGGTACTTTGCAAGTTTCTCATCAATCTCCTGCTCCTTACTTCCAGAGCTGTCTCTTTCTTATGCAGCCCTGACTTACTTATCCGGAGGTGAAAGACACATTTGTCATTGTGTTCCCCAGAGTTCCTTTCTTTCACTCATAACTTCAGAATTAGGATCCTCTGAATTCTGTAAATCGAACTCGCTAGTAACTACAATATTGCCCTGGCTTTATTTTTTCTAGGCGAGCGCTCTGTCATCTGAGCCCTGGTGCTTTTTTTTTTCCCTAGTTTTGTTTTTAACATAAGGTTTTACTCTGGGGCCTGGGCTGGTTCCCAGCCTTCAATCCTCCTTTCTCTGCTTTCTGGTTTGCCCAACATTTTTCACCATTCACCCAGAAACCCTCATCACAAAATTCAACGAAAGCATCCATATTTGTTCTCCAGTCCAGATACACAGTTAGTTTTCTGACAAAATCTTTGTGACCATCAGGCTTACCATACAGGGAATTACATTTGTTTTAACCATCATGCTATGGTCAGATCTTGTTAGAACCATTATTCCCGACTGGCAACACACAAGCTATTACTGTGCCAGAAGGTAGAGCATAGGGAAGTCTTTATTTAAAATAAAAAGCTGGCTCCTTTTCTTTAGAAATAGGGTGAAAGGCCAGACTTCTGGTAGCCAGAGCTCTCTCATAGCAGAACCCAAAGCCCCACCCACCCACCTGCCTGCCTGCCTGGCCCCGAGACTTCGATGCACTCTTGCTTTTACTCCCTTCTGTAACAAATTGCCCAAGGTGGAGGTGTTCCCCTAATATTAGGAAGCCCTGGGCATGAGGTACAGGAACCCCCAGGGCATGTGACTACAATGAAGTCGACTGGTACGGACAATATTTTTTTAAGCAATGATACGTGAAAACTCTTTGTAAAGGTCCTGTCACAGTTCTTTGTACAAGTTATTCAGCAGCACCTCCAGTGAGATCCATTGTCTGCCGTTTCAGCTGTGCTGTATCACCGCTGGGGACATCTCCACTCAGCCAAGAAACACTATGAAATCTCCTTGCAGCTTGACCCCTCGGCCACAGGCACCAGGGAGAATTACAGTCTGCTACGAAGAAAGCTAGAACAAATGCAGAAGAAGGATGTCTGATCTTTTTCTTTTGTGTTTTGAGTTTCTGCATGCATGAAGCATATCGGTTATGTGGTTATGTTTAACCGTTTTAAGATTCTCAGACATATTTATTTTACTCTTATTTTTTTTATAAAAACAAAGATATGCAAAAAAAGATTTTAGCACCAGCAATATACTCTTGAATGCTTGATAACGGTTTTTGCATCAAAATGGTATTTTTTCAGACAACTCAAATTAATTCTAAAATCCCAAAAATGAAAGCTTTTTTTAACTAAACGGAAAACGAGAAAAAAATTATCTTGAGTAACTCTGACTATCCTTAAACCTGCATTTGGGATGTGAGCTTTGTGACCAGGAGGTGACAGACGCCTACAACCTATGTAAATAGCAAATGTGTCTGTATATTGGCATATTTATTTACTGACAAGAAAGAGTAAAATGTTTGGTTTTTAATCTCTTTTCACACCAGTGTACCAGGCACTCTGTTTATAAGGAAATATTTATTTGTGTTTTTATGTGTTGAGTAAGGCAGATAATTGAATCAGAAATTGAAAAAAAAATTTTCTTGGGGGGGTGGGTCCAGTCATGGGGCCTGAACTCTGGGCCTGGGCGCTGTCCCTCAGCTCTTCAGCTCAAGGCTAGCGCTCTACCACTTGAGCCATAGCACCACTTCTGGCTTTTTTCTTTTTGCTTATGTGGTGCTGAGGAATTGAACCCAGGGCCTCAGGCATGCAAGGCAAGTACTCTACCACTGAGCCACCTTCCCAGCCCCAGAAATTGAAATTTTTTTGACACCTGGTGTACCTCTTTACTTTTTCTTCCATGGGAGAAAAGAGACTTAAGTTTTTTTGAATGCGTTCTACTCTTGCAATTTCATAATATAGGCAATGATATGGTATTCTCCCGAAACTATCACTACTGATAGAATGTTCCATCCATGCCCTGATGAGCATGGGCATTTCTCTTACACCCTTGCTACACTCATCTGTGTGTGTTGTGTTTTCTTTGACTGTGAATCTGTCACCCATTTTCCTAAATGGAACTACTCACAGCTGTCCATCCAGGAAAGGCGAGAAGTAAATTTTCTTTCAGAAGGTGTCATATTTTGGGACTTAGAGGTATTTTTAAGAATTGGGTTGGTTTTTTTTCCCAGTTGGATTTGGTTCAATAATTGTATCTACCTGTCTGGTTTGGTTTTCCCCTATATGCTGTTGACGTATGCAATGTCTACGATTTCTTATGTAGTAAAAGTATTGTACAAACTGCCTTGACAATGTCACATTGCTTCCTAACGGCTGTTTTTCACGACAGTGGAGTTTTTATCCCCTTTCCCTTCAGTGTCTGGAGTGACCATGAAGGCTCTTTCCCGGGTTGGGGGGGTCTGTTCTGTAGGAGTACAGAGGGAAGTTGGACTCTGTTCCCCCCACCCTTGGGAGCACAGTGTGGGTAGAGCTGTAAATCCATGGCTGGGACTTGTAGTCATTGAAACACGTCAGAAAAGAATGTGCTGTGCTCCAGCATTTCTTCAGTGGTCTCAAGCCACAGCAGTGATTTATGGATCTCTTCAGGAATAGAGGCTGGCTGCTCACCTCCCTGCAGGCCTTAGCTCGACAGATAATACATGTACTGAAGGCTGGGTTGGATTTTTTTTTTTAAGGAAATGTCTCTTTTTTAATAGCACTTGTTTTTTGAAAGTAAGGGGAAAAATACTTCTAGAAGTTAGGATCTTTTTTTTTTCTGCCCGAGCTCAGTCCCCGGCACCATGCATGCAGCACGCAGGGTACAGACAGAGACTACAAAGGCAGAGGCGCCCAGAGGGATGCTGCCAGGGTCACAGGAACCGACTGTACAGAAGAGCAACACGTGCAAAGGGCCGGTGGTGGGGACGTGAAGGGTCCATGTGCGCGGGCGGGTGGGTGGTCAGCACAGGGCGGCTGACCAGGGTCCACAGCCATGGCAGAGGCCGGGGGAGGGCCTGCGGGGACCAGGCCAGATTGCTTCCAAAAACGTTCCCAGTCCCATCCATGACAAGCTATTCACCAAAGCCCAGGGAGGAGCCCCACAGTGTATCCTGTCTTTGAGGAATGAACAAGTGACCGGCAAAAACAAACCAGCTCTTCCCAGCCGTGTGACAGCTAGAAAACTTGATAGACTTTTCTGGAAAGATTCCGCAGATCATTCAGGGGGAGAAAAGGTCTATGCCTGCTTCAAAAAAAAAAAAAAAAAAAAAACCAACAGCAGCCCACATCACCGTAACACTAACTTCAGATGAAATGCGGGTGAGCTTAGATTCGCAAGGTCGTCTTGCTCCTCTCATTAATTTATCTGCTGCACTGTTTGCCAGCGAGACCAGTTGTTCCAAGTAAGCTCATGGACAGAAGGAAAGAAGAGCCCTGCTGCCCTTGAAGTTTAATATCAGACCTTGAAGTAAGGCACCAGCAGCTCATGCCTCTAACCCCAGCCACCCAGAAGGCTGAGATCCAGCAGACTGAGGTTCCAGTGTAGCTCAGGCAGAAAGTCCATGGGACGGCCTGCAGCCAGAACAACCAGGAAAAGGCCTGGGTCCGGGGGTAGAGAGGTAGCAGAGGAAGAAGCCTGAAGGGTTCAAACCCAGTGCCACAAAGCAAAGAGAAACAGAAGAGAGGAATCCCGGGATTTTCAGAACACATACTATGCCCATTTCACACACACATTTTTCTAAGTTCACCTAATTAATGGAGTCTCTTGAAACTGTAGAGTCCTCTTATCAGGACCAGAGAGGCCTCCAAAAGGGAGGTGGCCTCTTCTCCACCCTGAGATACTAGGTTTGCAATGTCTCTCTCTCTCTCTCTCTCTCTCTCTCTCACACACACACACACACTTTTAGAACTTTAGGAAAGTGCAGTGCACACCCCGATCTGGGAGCAGGCACATCTCAAAGGCGATAGTCACACTAATGTTCGGCCCTCAGAGGTATTTCTGGTAAAGAAGCGGGTGGGATTTGGGTTAAAAGTTGGGTAAGGATGTGTGTTCTCCTTTGTCGCGGTATGTTCTATCATTCTTGCATTTACAGTCTTGGCATTACCTGTTGGGCTCAGAGAAATCTAGTCCACTTGGCTTACTAAATGTGGTTCCCTGATGACACAGATGTCTGTTTTCCTTGAGCATCCCTACACACAGAAGAGGAGTTCCATCAGATGTTCCTTTCAATACAGGTGTTCTTCCTGGAATAACTTCCCTTGGCACATACTTCTGTGGTCCAAGGAGTCATTTTCCACAAAATTGTTCCCAGGATGTGTGTTGCCCTCATATTTTCTAGCTCAATATCCAGAGCACAATAATAGCTGGGCAAAGAGAGTCCGGCCAGCCAGTGGGAGAGAGCTCCTTTTTTTGCTCCTTTTTCCTATGGCAGCTTTTTTGTTTGCTTCTAGTGATTAAAGCAAACAGTCCCTCTTTACTTTTAGCCAAGCTATTCACTAATGTGTACCTACACATCCTTAACTCCTGTTTCCCACGTGTTACTTTCCTTGAGTTCATCTTCATTTGCAAATTATGGAAAAGGACCCCAAAGTGAACTGGATGAAGTAACTATTACTGAACGCCAACCCTGTGTTTGGAAAATACACACGCAGGACCGGGCCGGGGCTGCTGGCAGTCCACTGCGGACCGTGCTGTCCGGCCCCTGCTCCGGAAGGGAGGCGAAGGCCTCGCCACGAGGCTGGATCAAGGGACTGCGGGTGCACGGAGGCCGAACTGTTTCGGTCATAGGAGAAGTAAGACGGACCTCGGCCTGTCCTGGGAAAGGTCATTTCTGGACGGGCCATGCGCTGTTCCTCAGTTCTGCTGCTCTTGTGGGCAGACAGCCCTGGGCCGCGGGGGACAGACAGACGGAGGGGGCTGGGCGACACTGGCATTGGAGCTTTCTCTTTTTATCTTTGCTTTCTTTTCATTACCAGGCATTTAGAAGGTAAAACTCAAGCGACAAACAGGTGGCTCAAGCCTACTTGGTCAGCTTGGATCAGGGTTCAAATCCAGCCCCCAACGTCACATGTCCTGTCCCCCTCCCCCAAATGACGGAGTCTCTAGAGGACCCTGCGTCTTGGGCTCTCATGCCTCCGCTTCCCGGGGTTCGCGATTGGCCCCGGGGCTCAGGATCGGTCCCGGCGCCGGGCCGAGTTGTCTGCTGGGCGGGGCTGGGGGGATCAGACTGTGGGGTGGGTGCTGCTTTGCGGCTGCGCGGGTGACCGTGCGGTGGTGCGTGTGCACCGGGTCGCTGGCGGGATGGGACGGGAGCCAGGGCCCCACCGAGGCGCCATCGCGCTGCCATGTCAAGTCTCGCCCACAGGGGTCGCCTTCGGGCTGCAATGCCACGCGTCGCCTGCAGGGGGTGACAGGCAGGGCGTGTCACGGCGGGGTGTGCAGTGTCTCACTCCGCCTGCAGGGGGCGCAGGGGGCTGCTGTTTGTGTCCTACCTGCGGGGGTGAGGGGGTGCTCTTAGGCTGTTCGCTGTTTACTGTAGTGCCGCGACTGACCTGCAGGGGTCGCCTTTGGGTTTGCTGTTCCATGTCCTACCTGTAGGAGGGGCGGGGGGGGGGGGGGGGGGGGGGGCATCACGGCGGTTGCAATGTCACACCCCGCCTGCTGGCGGCGCCGTTGTGTTGTAGCGCCTGAGGCACCCGACGCTGCGTCCCGCCTGCAGGGGGCGCCGCCGGGGGCGGCCGAGGACCGCCTGGGGCGCCAGGCGCCCAGCTGGGCAGAGCGGCTCCTCCAGGAATCACGTGGCCGGCCCCGGCGGCTCCAGCGGGTTGCAGGTGAGGGGTCGGCCGGGTCAGCGGGTCGGGAGCGGGCGGCGGTGTTGGGCTGGGGGCCGAGCGTGGGCGGCGGTGGAGCCTCAGCGCGCGCCCCTCCAGCCCCCCTGCCCTGTGTCAGGGGCACGCGGGAGCGCGCGCCGCGGGAGCGCGCCGGCCCTGGAAAGCCGGCGGCCGCGGCGGCGGGCGGAGCCGCCGGGGCGCGGGGATCCGGCGCCGCCCGCGGAGGCGGCCGAGGCCGGCCGGGGCTCCCCGCCCGCCCGGACCCGCGCAGTGATGTGCGGTCGCCCGTTCACCGCGGCGGCGCCGGGGGAGCTGCGGTCCGCCAAGCCCGGCCCCGCGCGGAGTCCGCGGCCGCCGGCACGGAGCCCAGCCTGGAGCGGCGCTGGGGCCCTGCGC